TGTGTATTACCAGCCTGATCTCACGAGAAAACGTAAGTATTTTACGTTTTGGCAGTTTAGTGGCTAATTCAAGTCGTAAGTTCAGTCGTAAGAAATTGTACGATTTTAAAAAGGAGGCGTGGCACCTAACCCCACCCTTAAACCCAACCGTCATTGGAGGATGAGCAAATCGTACTAAAATGTACGAATTAGATCGTACGAATTCGTACGAATTAGCCACTAAATGAAAAAGTTACGAATTGCCGTGGGATTGTGTTGGTATTACAGCTCTAAGACTATGTTCACACTGCAGGCAAATGTGGCCAGAATCTGATTTTTCCCCCTCATGTGACTCAGGTGATGACTGTGTGAACAGCCCAAACCGCATGAAATCTGATCTTTTCAGGTTAGATCTGTGGCACCTTCATATGTAGTCTTCAATCAGACACAGATCTGGGGCCTCATGTACGAAGACTTGCGTGGAAATCTTACTAAAACATTGCGTACGCACAAAGCTGTGCGTACGCAGAAAAAACTTCAGATGTATGAAACACTGCGTACGCCGAATCTCACGCATATTCTTTTGTACATCTGAATAAACGTGAAACTGAGCGCAACATGCACGAGCACAAAACCCCTCCCTGCCTCCTCCCCCGTATGAATATGCTAATGACTATGCTAATGGAAAAACCCAACGAAAAAGCAATGGCAAAAGCAAGCAAGAAGAGAAACTTTGAACAGAATGTGAATTGGAGGTGCTCCTTTCGGAGGTAGACCGGAGAAAAGCGGTGTTATTTGCAAGTTTGTTCTCCGGAATTAACAACAAAAGAAAAAAAATAGAGTGGGAGAGTTTAGCTGATGCGGTTAACACAGTTGGGTCTGAACATCGCACTGAGTGCATTAAAAAAAATAAATAGTGTGGTTTATATCTGTAAAATGTTGCAGCACTCTCAACAGTCTCAGTGGCGCGCTCGTAAGACGCATGTGATCATGTTTTGACACGTTCGAGCATGAACTCGGTTCGAATCCAGCGTCTGATGAACTCTTTCTTCTTTTTTCCCCGCTACATATCAGATTTTGCCTACTATTTATCACGAGAAACACAAGTAGGAATCATCAATAAGTTTGTGCATCATATTTTATTTGCACATTTATTGAATGGAAATGTTTCTGACTCACGCATGCAAATTCATCTTCAGATGGTGCCTTTATAGCAATGTGCGTGCGGTAGATCGCTCAGATTACATTGGGAAAACAGGCGACCGCTGCAAATTGTGCTTTAATGTTTGGCTGCTCAACTGTATGGCATGGAAACCTTATTTACCTGCTGGATGAACCCGTCTCATACAGCTGCCATTGCAAGGCTCAGTCACTTTGTAGAGAGGAATTTAACACAACTGCCTCTAGGAGTCGCCAATGGAAATAAAACAGACACGCACAAAAAATGTGCGTACGCCAGCCAAAAAGCTGCCGTGAAGCTGCGCACATTCCCACGTTCAGTTCATTGTTAGTAAATCCAAACGTGAGCGATTCTGAGCGTGAAACCTGGCGTACGCAGCGTTGATACATGAGGCCCCTGATGTTTTGCAATGCGACCGCAGTGTGAACCGTTATGTCGGATTTCACTTTTGAACAATCTTTGAGCGACATGCGTCATCATTCTGTGCTGTAGACATCATACACCCCTCAGCAGCACAGTACAAGGGCACACAGGGCGATTACAGTATCACAGAAAGTTGGTTGTTCATGTTAAAAACGATTTTGAAGGCAAAACTGGTGCTTGTTAACTAATCTGGTTAACGACTGAGGCACGGGTTGATCGCGATGCAGAGAAGCGTCGTGAGTGTTGCGGAAAGGGGATCTGTGTGCAGAGGAAGAACTTTCTCTCCAAGAGAAAAAAGGCAGGCGCTCGAGCACCCAAACCCCGCTTCTGCACGTGTCTGCTGTTTGTAACGAAGTAAAATTAAATAACTCTGCAAACAGAGATAAACCAACTCCGCCTTCACAGCTCAGTCTGCGGCTGCTCATTAACCCTTGATGAGTTCACTACACAAGTGGTCAGAGCGCCACGCACCGCTGTTGTAATAAACCACAAATGATCAGTGTTTTTTTTTTTATTTTAGGTCTCAAATGCCGAAATACACATTAGTATTAGCAGAACAACCCTTTACAGTTCATGAAATGCACCTTGGTTGTCTGTGAAAAGGGTAATAATCATATAAGCATGATCTGACAACGTGGTTACTCATGCAGCACTCACGTGTGCGTAATTAGACATTTTGTGCTCTCCTTAATACACTTTCACGCATGCGGGTCAGTTTGGGACCATGATCTGTTCATGCAAATCTGATGTTGGCCACATTTATAAAAGCAGTGTGAACATTCATGCAAAAAAATCAGATCAGAGAAAAAAAATCTGATTTGAGCACTAAGCCTGGCAGTGTAAGCGTAGCCTAAGTGAATGCAAACATCCAGCTGAGGGTTAAATCTGAAAATACACCCCGTTTAAAAATATTGATTCCTTAAATAAAAGATTCCACTCAGAGTCATTTAAATGATTCCTCGTTCGTTTGGATCTTTTGCCTGTTTGTATCAATGTTGACACCAAACAATACCAAATATGAAGTGCCGGATCCGGTAAAACGGGAACGCTCCTTTCCCTTTAAACACTAGTGGAGTGTGTGTGGGACTGATCATGACTGAAGATAAGTAATCATTAATGAGTAAATGTTCTGGTGATTACTGCAATAATCTACCCTGTGTGAGCTGTTTGTTAATGGAAGGACCAGAAAAGACTATATATGTATGGGACTTTGTCAAAGCTTTTAACCCAGATTTAACTCTTCTACAGCCTACAGCTAATCAATCTGTCAGATTCTGGAGTGCATTACAGTTCTGAAGAAAAATAACATAAAAGATCTTAAAGCTAACAAACACATTTATAGATATGGTATATTAGTATAATTTCACTCACCTGGGAAATGGAGGCAATTTGAATGGTTTGTGAGCACAATTAAATGCACACAGCATGCCAGATCACCTGATATTTGTAAGAAATAAGTCCAAAAGGCAACTGACTGTGTAAAGCCACATAAAACAAAAATATGATGTATATGCTGAGTTCAGCAGCTAATCAGCCGGAATCAGCTGAGGTGAAGTGACGGCGACCAGCGAGACCCAGCTCTTACTCAAATGGCCACGACCTTAATATTGCAAACTTAATATAACTCAATGTAAATGAAACGGATGAGTTATAAAAAAAAACATTTCACCTCCCTCACAGTTGTCATGAAGGGTAATGTTAGCTGTATGAATCAAAATCGTTCTTTGTATCAGGCTGTAAACACTTTTTGTTTTTGCTGTAAAGATGGCCAGTTCAACAGTGGACTCTATAGAAGTATGCTCTATTATTGAGCCAGGACTGGTGGAATTTCGATGAATTGCAAATTCAGTTCTGTATTAACTTCACGAGGGAAAGCGGGAGCTTGCCGACTGGTTTACACCCATAAACAAACAACTAAAACACAGTAAAAATTTGGACAATAATTTTGACTTCAACTGTGTGCCTATTACATATCCATAATACACTGTGATACAGCCTGGCTCGGATCGTATCGCTTTCTCACTACAATCGATTCGCTCCACAGTTCGTTTCAATCGAGCCTTGACCACCTCATTCAGGCAATCTCGAACTGAATGTTTTGGTGTGGATCCGAGCGCGATTGCTGGATTCACATATGCCAAACAAATCGCGCTAACTGGGAAAACACGGCAGGTTCAGAAACAAAAGTCTGACGTGAAAGCACCCTAAAACTCCTTCAAAATTTAGGGAAAAAAAAAGAATACATTATTTCAGATAAAAACGTAATAAATCAATAAATATACTTGATCATCTTTGTATTTGTATTGCATGCAATATAGTCTTCTGCAGTCATATGATCCCAAAAAAAATAATAGCGCACAGGACATAAGAACTATTTCTGCACAAAAAAGAACACTGTACAGTACACTGAAAAAAAATAACTTTATTACTTGGAGCTTTAGATTCTAGTCCAAAATATCTAAAACCTCTTTAATCAAGAAGGATTTTCTAGACAAGCAAAACATATTTTGTTTTCAGACATTCATTCATTCATTTTTTTTGTCAGTTTAGTCCCTTTATTAATTCGGGGTCGCCACAGCGGAATGAACCGCCAACTTATCCAACCAGTTTTTATGCAGCGGATGCCCTTCCAGCCGCAACCCATCTTTGGGAATCATCCACACACACACACTCATACACAACAGACAATTTAGCCTACCCGATTCACCTGTACCGCATGTCTTTGGACTGTGGGGGAAACCGGAGCACCCGGAGGAAACCCACACGAAGTCAGGGAGAACATGCAAACTCCACACAGAAACGCCAACTGAGCCGAGGTTCGAACCAGCGACCCAGCGACTTTCTTGCTGTGAGGCGACAGCACTATCTACTGCGCCACTGCCTCGCCTCTGTTTTCAGACATAAAATGTCAAAACTACATTGGTTTGTCCTTCAACCAAGCAAAATAATCTTGTTTTTGCTTTTCTTACTCTATTTGCATGATTATTTAGCTTTTTTTAAGGAAAAATTCACTCTATTTTGACATTATTTCTGAAAACCAAACAATATATTTTTTACTTGTCCATATATTGCTTCTGGATTTCACAATTTTAGATATTTAGACTAGAATTACTCTACAAAACATAAAAAGAGATTTTTTTGCAGTGTATCGATACCAAATCCAATTAAAATGACAGTACTAAAAAGAGAAAGAAACACATTGTGGAACGACATATAAGCAAATGAATGATGCACAAATGATGACTAAATTATAAAGCGAGGCATGATTTTGGCAAAAGCACGTGCGGCATGACACAAATGGACAAAATCGAAGCGGTGGCAAATATCGGGATGAAGCAAATGCAGCTACAATGGAAGACAATAAACAGACAAGGCTAGCTAGAAGACGATCAGACGGTGGGTTTGACACTGCACTTACAGCTCTAAATTCTGTGGATGGGTTTACAGCAGACCGTAACCCTGAAGACCCTCGTTCTGTGTGTGTCGCAGCACCAAACCCTTGATTATGAACCACTGAACCACTATTCGTGACGGACGTATTCTTCCCTGAAACTGTCAGAGAAAACAAAGATGACACCCAAAGACCTACAGAACAGCTCAGATACAGGAAAGATCATTTAAGAGCAGGTCATCTGGTATTTTAAAATGTCTAAAAATTGTGTTAGAATCTCCTAGAACCGGTTTAAATGCATCTGATCGCAGAAAACATTGAATGTTTTCATTTAGAAGAATCATTTAGATTCAAGCTCTGACTTAAGCTCTGTAAGCCCCTCTCCCTTCCACAAGTCAGCTCTAATTGGTCTATTACATAGAAAGGAAACACCCATATTAGGGTGCTTGTATGTTGTGGGAGAGGGGAGCCTATGCAAATGAGTTACTTTGATCATGTTAACATAGATCAGTAGCAGGCGAAATATTCAATAATATAATGACTTGTTTACTTGATTCAGAGCTGATTCTTTCTTTTTAGAGATGATATATTTATCATGCCCTTTTTTGATTAACAACATTGAAGGCAGTTTACACTGAATTATATATATTAATAAGATATTTTTTTAAACCCATATGACCTGCTCTTTACAAAACCAAGTTTTTTTTTACTGCAGAATTGAATTGAAAGCAACTGAACTTGTCCATCCATTTATACAATACTTAATTTAATATATACAGAAATAATAAAGAGGGTTGGCTAATGATTGGTAGTAGGGATGCACTGAATTTTTCGTCACGAAAGGTCAGTTTTCGGTTGGGGGAGAAAAACACATACTAAAAATATCCGTAAATTAGCAGTTTTCCGTATTTTGTTATTCATGTTTTTATTTTCACTAGTTTGTTTCTGCTTTTTAATTGGATTATGGGAGCTTGATCTTTCTTGTAACAACTTTTAACCTTGAAAAGCTTGAAAAAGTGACTTTTATTGACATGTTTAATGACAATAGTTTGCAGTGCAATATTGTCTGGGTTGGTGTGTGTGTGTGTGTGTGTGTGTATACATACACACACACACACACACACACATATATATATATACACATATATACATATATATATATACATATATATACATATACATATATATATATATTTGTAAAGCTACTCATGTACTGTGTTGTCATTGATATTCTAATAAACTTTAATAGGTAGAACTGTCCAAGATATGAATTAAAGCAAGTGATGCATCAAAGTTTGATAAAAAAAAAAAATCTTGAATGGTTATAAAAATCCCTATAATCATTAAAATAATTGATAAAAATAATTAGTTTATAAATCTTGAACTATATTAATGATTTGACGTAGTTTCGGAAACTTCCTACTTCTCTGTTTATTCGTCTGACTTTACAGTGGGTTTCTTTTGACCGCCCCCTGTCGTTTTAAAGAATATCTCAAAGGCGAACGCGTCAAGTATAAAATCCTCGTCCATTTCGTGAGGTGCACGCATAGTCAGTGGAGGTGCGTGACACGGATTTTAACCAACGGCATCCATAATTTCGGTTTCGGTGTAATTGTCATTTTGGTGCATCCCTAATTGGAAGTCAATAATACATCCACAATGAAACTGCTTTAATAAAGTTGAGTTGCTTTCATCAATTCTGCAATGATCTAGATCAGTGTTTCTCAACCATGTTCCTGGTGGACCACCAACACTGCATGTTTTGGATGTCTCCTTTATCTGTCACACCCGTTACAGGTCTTTCAGTCTCTGCTAATGAGCTGAAGATCTGAAGGTGTGTTTGGTTAAGGAGACACGGACAATGTGTGGAACGTGGTTGAGAAACACTGCTCTAGATGAATAAGACCTTCACAAACTGGAAAAAAGCCTTAAAATGCAGGAAACCCTTGATATGTGAAGGGGGAAAAAGTGACATTATTAAAGAAACAGAAGAAAGCAAAATGTAACAGTTAGTTTGGAAATAGACAGGTGATTTACTTTCACATCAGTTCAGATGCTCCATCAGAATCCAGCTAATGTGTTCAAAAAGCTTCATCCACACAGTTCAACATACTTGCAAATAGTGAGGGGAAAAAAAGTATATTGCTAATTCGATTAAATGGTAACATTTTAAAACAATGCCTCATTAGTTAACACATTACCAGTCAGGGAATAGTCATTAATCTAACAACATACACTGAAATAAAATGTTTAAAAAAGTGATCACACCCATATATATATAAATATATGGCAAATAGATAAAATTATATATCACCTCACTTGATTTACATCACCGCATTACCTTGTTAAAAAATGATTACCCAAATATTGACAAAACACTTTAATTTTATTACTTGCAAACTGAATTAGCACGCACTAAAATAAAACAACGTTTACATATTAGAGTCATTAATTGCATAGTGCGTCTTCTTGGCTCAGTACCATGTCTTTAGCCCCTTTCACACAGTGATACCGGTAAATATCTGGAAAATTTCCGCACAGACTTTACCGGTATTTTCAAAAAAGCACTGTTCACACAGGCGAGGATGTTACGGAATTTTTCCAGAAAAGACCGTTCACACATCCATTACAAAATACTGGTAAATTCTGACATCATTCACCACAAATGAGCTTTAAACGGCTGCGCTTGTATTTGTAAACATTTGACTAAATTACAAACTCTGTGGATGATCAATATTGTGAACAACTTTCGCAGGATCACTTTCGCATGTCGAGATGTTCATAATATTTGCGTGTGCAGGCGCTCACAGGCTGTTTCACGGGCACACGCAAAGCTTGAAGGTAAACAAACAACGGCTTATCATAAGCATCTTATCGATGATTATTTACACAGTTGGCATTAAGAAGAACATATAAACGTGATCTGACTAACTTCTAGCAGCTAAATGTGTCTGGAAAAATATTCAAAGGCTTTTAATCTCACAAACCACGCAGACGTGAATGCGTCTGACTGTTGTGATTGGCTAAAGTAAACGTCTCACATCAGCACGTTCTAGACGTGCACGCGCTCTTTCCGGCAATCTTCCTTCTGCATTCACACAGCGCAGCATTCCGGCAAATTACCGGTAATGTTACAACTTCTCTTTCCGGAAAATAGCCAGAACGAATTTACCGGTATTTTCAAAAGGGACCTGTTCACACATACAACCTTTCCTGAAAATTGCCGATAATTTTCCGGAAAGGTCTGTATGTGTGAAAGGGGCTTCTGGTGATATTTTTAACAGTGCGTGGACAACCACTTCCCACCACGCGACAAACTGATCCAGTGCGATTGATTTTCGCTATTAAGTAATCAAATCCACCTTTTGTCTAGTTTTTTGTCTGGAATTCACGAAGAAAACCTTTCAGTTCTCATAAACTTTTGATCAAACTCTTATCTTTATTCGAAAATACAATTTTTATTTAAGCCTTAAACAGCTAAAAAATAAATGTCATCATTACGCCATTGCCAAGGAAAGTAAATAAAATAATTATTCTAATTCACAGATTGCGTTGTTATTCCTGTACAAAATTTAGTCGTTCTTATTCCTGTAGTACGATAAGCAGTCTTAATTTTGTATGATATATTATTGTTTGTTTTTTGTTTTTGTGACAATGTGTGTATATACGTGTATATATGCAGTTGAAGTCAGAATTATTAGCCCCCCTTTGAATTTTTTTTCTTTTTTAATTATTTCCCAAATTATGTTTAACAGAACAAGGAAATTTTCACAGTATGTCTGATAATATTTTGTCTTCTGAAGAAAGTCTTATTTGTTTTATTTCGGCTAGAATAAAAGCAGTTTTTAATTTATTAAACACCATTTTAAGGTTAATATTATTAGCCCCTTTAAGCTATTTTTTTTTCGATAATCTACAGAACAAACCATCGTTATGCAATAACTTGCCTAATGACCCTAACCTGCCTAGTTACCCTAATTAACCCAGTTAGGCCTTTAAATGTCACTTCAAGCTGTATAGAAGTGTCTTGAAAAATATCAAGTAAAATATTATTTACTGTCATCATGGCAAAGATAAAATAAATCAGTGATTAGAGTTGAGTTATTAAAACTATTATGTTAAAAACGCTAAACAGAAATTGGGGGAAAAATTTAACAGTAGGGCTAATAATTCAGGGGGCTAATAATTCTGACTTCAATTGTATATATATTTTTTTCTATCTTTCTTTCTTTTTGGGATGCAATTAATTGTGATTAATCTTTTGACAGCACAAATAATAAATATAAAATTCTAATTAATAACCCCATAAAGACACACACACACATAACACTAAAATGAATAAATACATAAAAAAATTAATTTAAATATAAATTATGTCAGTGACCCTAAATTACGAAGGTTTTTTTTTGTTATCATCAGTTAATTAAAATACAAGTGTTACTTCATATTATGACATAAATGTTTTAGTATATGTTAATAAAGTTAATTGCAAAATTTAAAGTGTAACAAGCTTAAATATTTAAATCTGTTATTGAATATTGCATTAAAATAATTACACATTTCAAGCGAACTGCAGCTAATTCTTGTAAGTCCTAAAGCAACTTTACCTTACAATTTGGACAAAATAATACATATTTAAAGTCATTTGTTAATGCCCACACTTTGGCACAGATATTTAATTATCTTTGATGAAATGAGTGTTTTAGATCCTCAGCAGCCCACATTTATATGATTAGACTAATATATATATATATATATATATTTATATATATATATATATATATATATATATATATTTACACCCATATTCACCACTATAAAGGTTTCATTTCTGCAAACTAGTAGCAATATTTCCAAACCATTACAAACACCAACACCACCCACAACCCACTACAAGATTGAAATGAGCTGAATCTCAAAATCTGTCAGCAAGCAGAGAACACAAATTAACATTTATCCAATTTAAATAGTTACTAAATTGAGAGGAAAATCACCACATTGATGGTTATGAACAGATGGCATTTTAATGATAATGAATTTAGATTTACAAATGATTTAGGGTGTTTGATTTATTATTATTTGTGGTTTATAGTCAATTATAGTTATACCTCTGACAAAAATGTAAGCTTTTAAAATATAATTAAAGTAATGTGTCTACCAT